ATCATATTTATCAAATTACTGTACCAGATAGGACATGTGTATACAAGTATATGAATCAAACTAAAATGTAAACTTATTTACGACAATTTCTCAATTGTATTTAAAAATACATCTCACCAATTAATCATCTTTTCAAGATGAAGATGGTACTCACTCGTATACATAATTGGATTTCCACATGTAGGGTTTTTCTCCACACACTCTGATTCGATTTAACACATAAAATCTGTTCATTTTGCCTCGTTAAATGAATTTGCTTTTAAATTATCTGATAATATTAACTCAATGATACTTTTTATGCTCATTTGTTCCAGATTTCAATGTTGTATTAAAGAGCATTAGTTTGTTTAGGTTTTGTAAGTTAAGTATTATTTAAAATTAATTCTACCACTTTTACTAACCAGTAATAACCATTGCTAATGCCTAATACTGAGAGCGTTTCGTCTAGTGGAGTACAAAGCTTTAGCCTTTAAATGTCCCTAGATAAAATACTGACAATCATAAAAATATTCTGCTTGATGCTTGAAATATTCTGCTATGTGATACAATAGAGGAATATAGCTTACAGTTGAATGTAAAAAGTTGCAATCAACATCATAAATTAATTTCTGATTTATTTAAGGATAAAATCTAAAATAAGAAGAAGAAACGCTATCAAAGATACCTAATCAATCATAATAGCTACAACTGGAAACTTCTATCAAATAATGATTTCACTTATTTGTGTGCTGACCTTTTTGTTTAGCTTGCATATAAATGAAAAGAATTGCTTGAACTTTGAAAAGTATAGGTTGGTTGTCAGTAGCATTTCTATGAGGTCGTAAAATAAAAAAAATCGTATTGGAATCAAACCTTTTTGTTTCTTTTTTATAGCATTTTTTATCAAAATACGTCCTATTTCTAAATATCCATCTCAACAAAATTTGCGCTACGAACAAATTCATATTAAGAATGCATAAAAGCAATTATATTTCAGGCCAAAATAACACAGGTAATTCTATTGAACAAAAATATTTTGCAGTAAAAATTAAAAAAGTCATTTAACAAAACTAGTCAACATTATCAGTATGGCAAACTTTAAAAATCTGTAATAATCAACACTGGTTTATTGTGTTTATTACTAGCTTGTCATGGAAGATTCTTTTTCAATGTATAGCTACCATTATATGATACTATAATCATTTAACAAGAATATATGTACACTAAGGATCGTCACAAAAACCACACAAGTGTCTTGTATACAGAACGTGAAACAACAGTCAACCTCAGACTCCGGATATTGCTACTGTATCCTGAAACTTCTATCAGGAAACTCAAACTATATCCAGAGTACTTGTACTTTTATTAATGTTTACTTGTTAAACTATCAGTAGCTTTCGAAAATAATGACCATTTAGTACTTTTTTCGATAAAATGAAACCATTATGCCTCAGAAATATATAAAATATGATATTATTTCCCCAAATTCATTAAATCCACAATTATTCTTCGCTTTCATTAAGTTTATGAATATAGGTCTATCATCCTTCTAAGTACTGAATGGAGTTTGTTTTGCTGAATATATGAAAGCCAATAACCGGGGTTTTTTTCACAAGGAACTCGTATCATTTAGCATAAGAGGAAAGACATGCATACCAAAAAGGGTTGGTAAATTATACGAGGAAAAATAATTTAAAAGTGTTATTTGTTCTGAATGAAATATACAACCAAGCTTAGAATACGGATTATTATATACATTTCAATTTGGGATTTTAAAGTATTCATGATAACATTTAGGGGTAATTTACATTTAAATGTTTTCAAAAACGTTTCAATGAAAACAAAACACAAAAGGAAACTGATAACGCCCAAGCCAATCTGGTCTTTGTTTCAAACCACGTTATCGTTTAAAGCTGGCTTAGCTTGGTTGAATTAAAAGATTTCCCATTTCAAACAGTTTATATCTTTTTTTACGATACGAAAACTTAATTTTATGCAAAACCGTTTCGGTCCGTAGTGCGAACGCTATTTTACACCACTCTATACCATACCACTATTCACAACAATAATAATGTACACTAACAATGTACTGTATGTAATAGTAATGTATGTAATAATGTAGTCAACACAACTACAACTTTGAGGTTATCTGAATAATAATATGAGGAATCAGCAAAAATAATAATAAATAGTTGCTAGGTAGCGGTGACAATAAAACAATTGCATTGCAATGCTATGGATTCAGATTGTGTATTTAATATGCAATCATGTTTTAAGAAAGTAAGCGGGCAGCTAATTTTGCGGCCATAGGGATGCAAAAACCTGCTCTGTCCCCAGCTGGCATGGCCAGCAAAACATAACTTTCAGCCACCAATTAACGTATGTAAAAAAGCTAAAAACATCATAAAGTGGTGAAAAAAATTGTTTATGTGAACTTCAGAATGTATAGACGTCCACCAATTTTCTATAAACGAATTTATCCGTTTTTGTTTAATTTGGTAGTACATGTTAATGTGAACGAGACATGATGCATTTTGAGCATACGAAAACTTATTCATTGTAAGTGCAAATGTTTTTACCACTGGATGTGTGATTAAATTAAAGCCTGTACATCTTATTTGGAAGTTTAATGGCATTACTCCATTGCAAAGAATGTATAGTTTTATTTTCTACAACACTATTTCCATTCGCAATGGTTCAAGAAAGAGAATCGACTTTGTTCACAGTGGAGAAACCCAACCGTCACCACCAGACTTGCTCATTACATCTTCTAAGAACATTGCAGCTTCTGCTCTGCTTCTCTTCTGCTTTAAAATAAACTGTAAATTCTGATTTTAAACAGAAAAAATATTTTATTCTAAAAACTCTTACTGTTATTTCTACTGTTATTTAATTATTATTAATGATAGTTATAGTGCTCACCGTTAAATCTGAAAGTTAGTAGTGTGATTCCTATTCTAACCTGGTTACCCTTAGATGCAGTTTGTCATTTGGTCCATCAATAATTGATGCTATCTAAAATAATATCGACGTTAGATAGTAACGAGATCAGTGTTTAAATTGTTTATTTACAAAAAAAGTACCTGTAAATATTGCTATTGGGTAGCATAACAAAAATTATTTACCTCGCTTATGAATTAAAACGTATCTTTTATCAATTGTATTAGATTGGAAACATCATTGGTGTAGAATCTATTTACATAAATGCAAAAGACTTATGCCTTTTAAACTTTTAAAGATTACATTTATATTCATAATTGTGTAATCTTTTATGTAGAAAAATATTTGCACATTACCTCATTTTATTTGGTATTGAATTATCATGTTAATACAGTGGTTTTCTAATAGAGACTAACCAAGCCACGACACAAATGCGTTTTAAAACATAAATTATTACGGCTATACACACATCTGTTGTAGGATATAAAATGTTAATAAATATTTCATCAAGTTTAATATAGTATTAACCCAAAACGATTCAATCATGATAAAAAAAATGTTCTAGCTACTTAGACCATATAACAGAAATCATTGAGAAACATCTGCTTATCTATTCCACGTCGTCAGCAGCCCACTCATGCGCTACAAGTTTCTATCTTTATGTATGCCAGCGCATATAAATTGTAGATTTGAGGCTCTTGAATATCACGTACATGACGTCACGTATATGAGTCGGTAAGCGTAGCCTACTTTATAGCAATCATACAAAGATTTATGGATTTTCATCACATTCTTGAACTAGAAGGTATTTGATTACGTATTTTACAACATATGTGGTTTAACGTGCATTTCAACGCAGTGGCGGCGGAACCAGGGGGTCAGGGGGGTCAGTTGACCCCCCTGAAATTTTAGGAAGGGTCAGGGGGGTCAAGGGTCAGGGGTTCATATAAAAAATTTAAAGATATAAAGCATTCCGTACTGTATACGTTTATTTATTCGGCCCAAGAAGAAAAGTATAAGTAGGCCTAATAACAGTTACTGAAGATAAGTACAAAGATAAACAATTTAGTTATTAATAATAATCTATTACATTTATTATGAAGGGGCTTAATACTCACAAAACCTTATAAACGTAATAATTAATTTAATTGATGTTCATGATCGTATTGGAATTTTGGAGAGTTAACTAACAGGTAACACTTGAATTTCGCACTGAGTATTCGTCATAGTCAAAGTCGGAACTTAAGTATGTACCGTACGGTATTTTCGCCTAAAATATGATAATTATGGAGTAGTACGATATTTTACTCCTGGATAGTTGGCAACTCTTCATGCCGTATGCGCAGGGAGGTTGCGCAACACACCTAACCTAAAACGGGACCTTGTCGCTGTCAGTTCTATCGGTGTAAGTGATGTTTTTATGATGTCATGAGTGGTTTGTTCTTCAATTTTACAATTTATCTGCAGCAATGAAGAGACAGAAAATCACGAACTATTTTAATAAGAAAACTAAGGTTGACACATCGTTAAGTGAAAATGGCTGTGGTGAAAAACAGTGTGATACTGTGGTGCAAAGTAGCCCGAGTGTTAGTGGTCCTAGAGCCAGTGACTCTGCTCCAGCTTCAACTTCAACACAATCTACGTTTGAAAGAGATGAAGGTAATGAACCATTTCAACCCTTGACTATTAAATACCCAACGAAAGTTATAAGTGGAGTAAATCGATCGTTTAAACCAGAGTGGTATAAAAAATGGTCGTGGTTACACTGGAATTCTGAATCTGAATCAGTAAAATGCTTTGTTTGTATGAAAGCAAAGAAGCTTAACCTAAAGGTTATATCCAAAACGAAAGTAGACGAAACATTCATTATCAGTGGATTTTCAAATTGGAAAAAAGCTTCTGAGAAGTTTTCTTCTCATGAAAGCAGTGAATGCCATAAAGCGTCAGTTGCATCCATAATGTCCTTCAACCAAACTCCCATTACGGCACAGTTGTCTAATCAAATAAATAATCAGATGATAGCTGCACAAAAAGCCCTTATTAGCATTGTATCTTCAATTAAGTATTTAGCCAGCCGTACCATGGCACTAAGAGGTCACGGAGACAATGAAGGAAACTTCTATGAACTTTTGCAGTTGAGAGCAAATGACATTCCCGAACTGAAAGAATGGCTTCAACGAAAAAGAGCGTGGCTTACTCATGACAACCAGAATGAAATCCTGGAGCTCTTGGCCTTAGAGGTGATGCGGAAACTCAATAATAGCATAAAAGAAGATGAATATTTTTCCTTAATAGTAGATGGGACAACAGATGTGTCGACAAAAGAACAAGTTGCCTTATGTATAAGACATGTCAATGGTGACTTTGAGGTTTCTGAAGACTTTATTGGTTTATATGAGACATCTTCGACAACTGGGGAAACTCTGACCAAAATAATACAAGATGTACTGTTGAGGTTAGACCTGAACATAGACAACTGTCGTGGACAGTGTTATGATGGGGCTGGAAATATGAAGGGCCACATGAAAGGTACTCAGGTTCGAATAAGTAAAATAGAACCCCGTGCAACATACATACACTGCTTCAATCATGCGTTGAATTTAGCTGTTATCGATGCTACTGGGGCTGTACCTGAATTCGGAAATGTTCTACAAAATGTACATGAACTTGGCAAGTATTTCAATAAATCTGCTAAAAGGACAGATATCATGCTTCACCATAAATCAGATGACAATCTTGCCTTGACTAAAAATACTAAGCTAAAACCTCTATGTCCTACAAGATGGACAGTGAGACTGAAGTCTCTACAAGCTGTTAACTCACAATATGAGACTGTTCTAAGTGCTTTGGAAAGCATCAAAACTGAAGATCCTGATCCTACTGCCAATGGTTTACATTCATTTTTTGAGAAAACTCTCACACTGTTTCATTTAGAACTCGGTGTTTTGATTTTTGAAATAACAGACGAGCTTGCTAAAAAACTGCAAATAAGTGACATTAGTATAACCTATGCCTTAGCCCAAGTTGACAGAGTTAAACAACGTTTAACAAAGTTGAGAACCGATGAGAAGTTTAACGAACTATGGGAGAAAGTGAAGAAACGAGGGGCAGATATGGATTTACTCCCGGTCACTCTTCCACGTGTTCGAGCGCCTCCAAAACGACTAGAACAGAAAAGTGATGCTTCCCCACCAGTGACGTTCTCCGGTCCAGAGACTTATTTGAGGAAACAGTACTTCGACGTTTTGGACAACTTAAAGTCAGACATTGATTATAGATTTCAACATCCCGGAGTCAAAATATACAGAGACATTGAAACTGTTTTAATGAAAGCAGTAAACGGGAAGACAGAAGAAGTAAAAATTGAAGTGGACAATATATGTGACCATTTTAAAACTGACTTGGACAAGAAAAAGCTTACAAGCCAATTAAAGAGTCTACAAGATTTACCAAAAAAGAAGGAAGTGAAAAGTGTACGTGATTTAGTTGTGACTTTAAATAGTGAGCCTCAAGAAAACAAACAATTTTTGTCTGAAGTAGTAAAGGTTGTCAAGTTACTGCTTGTCTTACCAGCGTCTGCAGCAACTGCAGAAAGAACCTTTTCTTGTCTTCGTCGCTTGAAAACGTGGCTGCGTTCCACGATGACGCAGAAGAGATTGAACCATCTTGCAATCTTATCCGTCCATAGGGACATTGCTAAATCTATTGATGATAAGCACATTGCAAGAATGTTTGTCAATAGAGTTGAAAGTCGCTGTGCAGTTTTCGGGAATTTCAAAGACTGAAGTTCAAGTTAGGGCCTACTGAAGTTTCATCAGCAGAAGTTTAAAAATCTAGTTAACTTGTAGTAGGCTAATATCTTGAGATTCTCGTGTGGGATTTTACTTATTTTAGCAATAATTCATCAAAAAGGTTTTGTATTTCTTAGTAATTTTATGTTGTGCCAATACAATGTTTGTAATGTTTTTTTGTGTAAACCATTATTTATCCCCAGTGGACACACTTACTTGGTTATACCATACCGTCTTACTTTTGTGATTAACTATAATCAAGCAGCCAATTTTAATTTAACTTATTATTAATTCAGTTTTGAGGGGGAGGGGCAGAGCCTGCTGAAATTACGCGAACACATAAATCCCTAGGGCCTAGAGCTTGTAAACATGGATTGAAACATTAGATGTCTTTGGAATACTCTGAGAGTGAGAAGCAAAACATAACTTTCAGTAATGTTGCATCGAAATTTACCGTTACTGAGTGATTCATAAATGTAATTGTAAAATTTACTCTTCTCTGTCGTCTGCAGCAACTCATTGCTGGCAGCTTTAGTAAAATCTGGGCACCAGTACTTCATTTTATGTTTGTTTGAGATGTATGTGTATTATTTATTATAATGTTTTTACAATGAACAGAGTAGCGTCTTTGTTAAATTGTAAATTTTCTTTGTTACTGCTTGAAGAAAAATGTTCTTCAGGTAGCCTAAAAACACGTTTTAAGGCTTTTATTTTTCAAAATTTTTCCGGGGGAGGACCCCCCCTTACCCCCTGGGGGGTATTCCATACCCCCCAGACCCCCCGGATGTGGACCTCCACCATAGGTTTCTGACCCCCTAACAAAATTTTGCTTCCGCCGCCCCTGTTTCAACGTTTACTGCAAAGGTAAGAGTGCAAGACTTGTCTTAAAGACTGGGGAGTATAAGAACAATTAATTATTTTTACCCACGATCGATTTTTTGTACTTTTTATCCAGACTTTTAATACATTTCTTTAAGGGTTTCTGTAAGTGGGGTGTATAAGGGTTTCTGTAAGGGGGGGGGGTAATAGATTTGATCAAAGTGATAATGCCGCAAAGCCTAGGCTTAGTCTAGAGTTAAATTAAAACTATCGTGGGCCATTACATAACGTCCAAAATGAAAATCAGACCTAGAGTGACTTTCAAGAGCTCCACATCAGTTGGGAGTATAAGCGAGAGGCAAAAACCGAAACAAAAATTATTTTTACATATTTCCTCAGGAGATAAACACCTTGAGGGCCAGGCTTCTGTGAAAGTACAATGCCTCTTAATGGAAGGATTTTTCTTATTGAGGCGAGTTCAATTTTCCAGAAACAACCAAGACAAAGTGATCCAATTACTTACCACAGGATGGTTCTAAGCAACGGCTTTTAGTTCCGATTCTGCTGGTTTCTTGTTGTTTTTAACTCAACCGCAGATTTTCAATTCTTAGGAAAATCATATTATGACGTGTGATTGCGAATTAGGTAATTTAATAATGTGACAAACCTACAATTAAAAGCTTGTTTGATATCAATTCAAGCATATTGTTTCCCTGCTTAATTCTGATACAATCTAATCAAATAAAATCATCTAATTAAATGAATTCCCCCTCCTATAAAGTATTCCCTTAAGAATGATTCCAAAAACCTTATAAACTCAGCTAACAAAATTAGCTACATAGTTCAACTTATAATGGTAAACTATACGAATTTCCTTCTTATTCAATGCCTATGTTTTTGTCAGGCGTGTCTTAAAATTGAATTTTGATTATAGGCTGTTTCATCCCACAAAGCATTAGCATTGCATTTTACAATGAGTATATAGGCTACCCACAATTGAAAGAGATTTTTATTTTATTTGATCTCTCAAGAGCTGTTGAACAATATACAATTGACATACAACTTATCACAATACTTACATTTATTATTTTGAAATTTCTTCACGTATATGCTCATTATGAAAATTATAAGATTGTATGGTTATGTTACCACATGCCCACACTATATCTCATATTTTTTCAGTTCCAGTGTCCGGTGTCTAAAAGTACTTTGTATTTGTTAACTTTTCATTCGTATAATAACGTGGAATGTATCGAGAAAAAGCAATGGAAAAGCCGTTACAGGACAAGGGTGAACTGTACTAATCAAAAGTAGTGGAAGGGACCAAGATTCGAACCTATGACATCGAAGTCGGTGACGTTATCGACTGAGCCACCGATTCACTTAAAAACTTCTTAGCTTTAATTTGATACTAGATTTGCCACTACATTTTAACTTTGAACTTATTACGATTTGATAGAAAACCTCTGATTTTGGGTATAACAATACTTCAATGCTTTATATTATAACCATTATACACACAGTGTTACATATATTTAATTTAGCTAAATATATCACATTATCTTCATATTCTAAATACGAGTATAAGCAGCTATAAGTTGGTTCAAATTCATGATAAAAGTTGCTGGGAAAACAACAATAAAAGCTTTCCGGACGAAATGGCCAATTATGTATATTGTTATTATGGAGGCTCTTGAATAAAATCATATTTTGAATTTTGACCAGTTTTCCTTCTTCAAGTCAAAGATTAATTTTATTACAATACAACAACAAGGAAAACATTTTAAAAGAATGCTGTTATTTAGAAATACCTTTTATAATAGTTATTTGTGCAACTAGTGAGGAAAGTGAGCAATTGACTCACTCGAGAGAAATCCTTACTCACGAGCCGTAGGCGAGTGAGGAATTGTTTCTCGAGTGAGGCAATTGTACCTTGAACTCGAGTTGCACATTATACTTTTCCTACAGTTACCATAAAACCATAATTTGTTACCATAATTTGTGAAGAAACATAACCTATTTTTACACAGAAGTGAACTTTTAATATAACATTTAATGTGAAGTGACAAATACAACAGTACAACAGCTGACCGGCTGATTTACAGCCAGTGCTGCCAACGTATTTCGCGCACATACGACGTTGACTGCATGTTACTACAAGACTATTTCGTGCCTTCACGCTGCAAATCTGGAGTGAGACAAAGTAATTAGAGTGAGACAATGTTAATATTGTCTCACTGATGAGTGAATTGGCCACTTTGCTTTCTCAAATCAGTGAGAGAACATGTACATTGTTAGGTAACTGTAGGAAAAAATATTTTTCAACTCTATTGTTCACTGAAATTTTTTCCCTTACATTAAAGTTTTTTTATTATTAAAGCGTAAATTTTCAAAATAGTTAGTACGAACAAGACGTATTTACCATATTGATTACTAAAACGCAAATTAGGCTATATTATAAACTTGTGTCAAAATAACCAGTACTGAAATCGTTAAATTTGATTTATTTTCAGTACTGTTTACTTTGGCACGTTCTTTATAACGAGAACGTTACCAGTTCCTTTGTCAACTAATAACAACGAAAGAATTTGTATTTATAATTTAACAAAGTTTATACATACATTAATTTCTGTACATATAGATGCTTAACTTGAAGAAAATTAAGGTTAACAATATATTTTTGAGAGTATTCGGATCCTATGAAGTCTCTTTCACTTGGAACCGTTGTATTGACTCTCTGCCCTCTTTTGCCATCCTATTCTAATACTACTTAAAATTTACTGCCTAATAAAAAAAATAAAAAAAAACTATAGGAAAAGTTGTAAATAAATATTTAATATTGCATTTGTTTGTTGTAACTTCCAAATGATAATAAAGGCTTAATACAACTCGAGGGACCAAACTCATTTATTTGCTCAAAGACACAGAAGTTTGTGTTTAGTTTTGTTTGCGAATGAAGAATAATTAGTATTGAAACAGGATATACTTTTCGTTTGATCAGTAATGTTTGATTATGTTGTTAACAAACTAAATTAACAGAGTGGAATATTTTGCAACGGTGTGTGTTGAATTAATTAAATAAAAAAATATTTGTAGACATTAAAGAAGTGTGATTCTTTATTTTAAATTTCCGGTCCGGAAAATGTGTTGACACCATAATATTGTTTTTAATACAATTTCCGCAAGCATATGTGATGTAAAAATATTTTAAACCATGGAGAACAAACTAGATTTGGAATTTCTTTCAAACGCTTGGCACTTGTAACACTTTGAGTTTCGTAGGTTTAAGAATTATAAAATCTATAAATGATTCTTGCTTAACTACGTAAACATGTTTTTATATATATATGCTACGCATATGCAAAGTTTGCTCACAAATGTCCTCGTTTTAAGACTCAAAATAAATAAATTTCAAACATGCGTCTAGGTATCGAAAAATAACAAACTAGCCTTTAATAAAGCCGTAAAACTTCATAAAAATTCATTGTAAAAACCTATTTATAAATTATATTGTTAAAATTTAAAATTTTTAGTTCACAAGCCCTAGCGGATGAAATAACTCATAAAAAAAACAAAAAACTAATAGTGGAAAAGAGTTTTTTAGCTCTAAGAGATCGGTTCGGGGTCGTTATCTCGGTGCTTTGGATAACTACCGGTATACCAATTTTTTTTCTTCTTAAAAATATAACAGCTGGTCAGTTGTGATGTAAGAGTACCATATATTAACAGTCGGTACCGGTACCAATACCAGTTACTAACAAAAATCAAGAATTAATAAACGTACCATTGGTGCCAAACGAAATACAGAAATGCACATGCATAGTAGGTCAGTTTCAAAGGTTGGCAATTTATGTATGGCAAATGTGTTGTTTGTATTGTAAAAAATATTTTAGCTACTTACAAAGAACAGTCTATCACAGTATAAATTCATAGAAATATGTTTGAATGCAGTTTTCAGATTGGAAGCAGATGGTTTCATTGTTTATTTGTGAAAAGTCCTTTTTTTGTGGAACTTAATTTACTAAAAGGAAATGTTGAGCAGTCCCATTAAATAAACAAATCCAAATGAGGAAAAAGA